AGTCTGTTTCTCACTTTTTGTGAATAAGGGAACTGAAGTTTGGAGAAATTAAATTATTTCTCAGGGATTTATATTAGTTGATAGAGAATTAGACTAAATTTTTGATTTCCATTTCCAGTTTTTTTCCCCCACTATTCTTTTTTCCATCTGAATCTTGCCAGGTTTGCTTAGTAGTTCAATCTGAGCAAGTAGGAGCAGTTATAATATTTCTGAGATAGTATCTGGAGATTAAAAACCTTTTAATTCCATCCATTGAAATTTCTGAAAAAAAAGAAAAGACTTCTAAAAGATAGTTTACTATTGCTATATAATACACGTTTATCAAAAACCTTACCTTTCCTTTGGGCAAATTGTAGTATAGCTGTTCTCTATATGTAGGCTCCAAGAGGAATTAAAAGAATGCCACCTTGTTAACCCTGGAAACCAAATGGATTTCCAAATAACATTTTATCAGATAATCCTCTGGCCTAGACTGAAGTTATGAGGAAGTTAGGAGAAAACTTCTTTAACATTGGAAATAATTATAGTTTGTATTTGCTCTTTAATTCCTTTTTCTTTCAAATTTTCTTTTGTAAAGAAAGTATAATACATATATTACCCATTATTTGTTTATTTGAGTGGATACTCTTAAAAAACAGTAATTTTAAAAACTTCTTGCTATTTCAGTGATATCTAGGTGGGGTAAGTTGTTTTTGTGCTTTTTGTGGAACTTCATTTAATTCACAGCCCAAATGATCACTGACCACTTCTAAGTGGTTCAGTGTTAACACTTACTGCTGGGGTATTTTCTCTTTTAATTTTGTGTTTTGAGTTAATCATTTTCTAAGTTGATTTTAAAAAACTATGATATATGATTAGATAAAAGAATGAAGGTGTTAGTAAAAGTAAAGTGTCTGTTTTTCTGAATTTGGGACTTATTCAGCTTCTTAGGATATAGATAGCTAAAACTAAGGCTTAAAATTTATTTTCTTGTATGCATGATTTTCTTTTTGGTACTGGAAGTTGAATCCAGGAGCATTCTATTTCTGAGTTACATTCCCCATGTCCACCAAACCCCACTTTAAAAATTTTTGAGACACAGTCTTGAACTTGTCATCCTCTTTCCTCAGCTTATGTTTTTCTTTCCATACTAAGAAATACTCAACAATGAACCAGGCTACATTAGATACTAGGTACTAACTTGTTGCCACAAGTTTGCACAAACAGCTTAGATGTTGAATGGCAGAGTTTTTTTTTTTTTTCAAAAAGAGAAGGTAATATGTTGAATTGAAGAACTTCCAAGATAAACTTTCAGATTCTTTGAATATATGATTACAAAGGCCTTTTCAAGTGATGGGTAAAACCCAGGCATTTTCTCTTCTGTTGTATGTAAAACCACACCTTTCTTTACAACTGTTGTCTCACAAAAGTAAATTAGCAGAAGTACACAATGAAATAAGATTGAGGGGCTGGGGTGGCAGTAGACCACTCACTGGATTTGATCCTCAGCAGAACATTAAAAATAAATAAATAAATTATACTAAAAAAAAAATAAGGTTGAAAAATGTACATACAATTTCTATCAAACTATTTAGTAAAATCCAATGGTTAAATAAAACTTTTTTAATATTTATTTTTTAGTTGTAGTTGGATACAATATCTTTAATTAATTAATTAATTTTTATGTGGTGCTGAGGATCCAACCTAGGGCCTCGCCCATGCTAGGCTGGCACTCTACCATTGAGCCACACCCCAGCCACCCCCTTCCATTAAATCAAATCTTAAGCTGTTATTTGAACCAATTTGCTTGAAAAATGGAAGAATGAGTCAAGATAAATAAAGGTTAAAAATGCAAATGAAGAGTTTCTGAAAATTGAAATAAATACTTGTTGAGCTCCTTCCTGAACTCAGCAAATGCTTGGGGTGTCTTCAGTGCTCTGGGAGCTCAGACTGGTGAGAAAAGCGCACAGTGGCAGAGATGTGTGCCAGGTGATGTAGGGACAGGGGCGTATGTTATCCCACTGGGGAAGGTGACAGGAGAAGTTACAAGGGGGAAGACCCTTCTTGGGGAGGTGATATATGAACTCATTTCCTTCCCTTGTTTGTCAGTTTTAAAAATTAATTAAGAATGCATTGCTGTTGAAAATAGTAATACAGTAATATAGAAGTAGTAAAAATGCAAATTCTTATTTACACTTTCTAATGCTTTTTTTCCCAGTTAGAGTTAGATTGATAAATATGCTTCCAGATATTTCCCTAAAACCATCTCAACAGTTTTTCTTTTGAACAAAGTTGGGCTCAGACTCATGTAATTTTGTAATTTGTTTTCCCCCTATGTAACAATCTACCATGTGCATGTATCCATATCTGTAGATGTAAATCAGCCTCCTTTAAAAATTTGCTTCTTCATATAATGGGCTATACCATCATTTATTTACATATTCCTATTGTTGGACATCTAGGTTTCCAGCCTGTTAAAAACAGCGAATATCCTTGTACGGATAAATTTGTTCTTAGGTGTAGTAAGTTTAAATGATAAGTAGGTGAAGGGAGTGAGGATTAAAGTGAAGGGTAAATGTTTTCTAGGCTAAGTGAACAATGTGTAGTTTGTAAAACACTGCTGAAGACAATGGCCAACTGTTGGGGAGAAGTCTTTCTGCTTCTGTGCTGTGGAGGCACACCACCTCCTGCTTTCTGGAACTAATACTGGAGTATCTCATTTTATAATGGCATCATTCTACTGAATAATTTATAGTTATTTTCTTATTTTGGAGATATAAAATCTTTAAAAAATAATGTAACCAGATGGAGAAGTAGATTCACAAGCTGATAAAGTGATTGATTATTCAGAGGTCACACAGAGGTGAAGTGGGTAGCTATGGAAATAAAGTTGATATCTTACCTTTTACTTAGCTCTCTTGCCAGAGAATGTCTTAGCATTCATAATGGCTTTTTGGGTACCTAATCTCACACTACTGTCCAATTAAAACAAATTTTGGTTAATTCTTAAAATAGCAATTGGAATATTGCTTATTTGTCAAGTAAGTATATGAAAATGGCTTAGGGCTAGGGTATAGCTCAGTAGTAGAGACCTTGCCTGGCATGTGCAAGGTCCTGGGTTCAGTCCCCAGCATTGCAAGGGGGGGAAAAAACCTCAGAGAACAAAAATGGCAGAGATGCTTTAAAGTAGGTGAATTATATTTTCTTATATACTTCTCTTAGTGTAAAATTTTCTTATCCTTACAAAGTCATAGTTGCTACTATTTTGCTTCAAACAGATTTCCAATTTTGGAATGTTCCCCTGTAGTGTGATATCTGTCAAGTGCTAACTAGTATTATAGTTCATCATTGCCTTTTGTCAAGAAGAATATCTGATTATTATTATTTTTTTTTTGCTTTTTGCATAATCTGATCTTTGCTAATTTTTCTGTATTGAAATTATGTTGTTAGGAGAAGGATTAGTCTAAAATTTATCAATGTTTGGTGCTGAGTTTTTGAAACTGTAATACTTTGGAAACAATTATGAAGTAATATTTTTCTTAATTATCTCTAAAAAGCCCCTTTGGTTGTCAATGATACTTCGCCATTCGGTTACATGTACTTTCTTGTCTAGAAATCTGATTCAAGGCTTCCAAAAATCTCTTATTAATTAAATTTTTTGGAGGCAAAATTTTTGGTGATTTTATTTGGTTAGTATTCTTTCTAGTTCCAGCATCTGGCCTATAAACTTTTATTCATATTTCAAAAAATATATGCTAAATAGTTTTAATTAGTGTTATTAATTGAATAACAATGCTTTGAATAAATCGGTTTAAGATATTATCTCACTATCTTAAATAATGATTATGTTGTTTTTTTTCTTTCTTTTTTATTATGTATTTTTTTTTTTCTTCATAGAAGTATAATTTCTTTTCAGTACTAGGCATTAAACGCAGGAATGCTGTACAACTGAGCTACATGCCAAGCCCTTTTTAGTTTTTAATTTTGAGACAGTGTGTCACTGAGTTGCTGAAGCTAACCTTGAACTTATGATCTTCCTACCTTAGTCTCTTGAGTGGCTGGGATTATAAATGTGTACCATTGCACCCAGCTGTGAAGTATAATTTTTAAGCATTAATATCTACCTTTTTATTTAGAATGATAAGTTATTTTTCAAGAGTAAAGTATACATTTGAACAATAAAGTAACTTAATTTTGCATTTAATTTTTCTAGGGCTGCTTTGGAAGAAGTAGAAGGAGATGTGGCAGAATTGGAACTAAAACTTGATAAGGTGAATTTTAACATTTTTAATTTTTTAAAGTATCTATTTTTGTTTTCCATTAATAAGAACATTACTTTGTTTCTCTATAAGGATAAATTCTTTTATTGTAATTTTACATATGAAGAAATTAAGGCTAGAGATATTAATTAGCTTGCTTGTTCAAAGTCTAAGTGCCAGGGAAGAATATATATTCTCCTCTGAATTCAAAGTTTACTAAACAACTTTTATATGGTTAGAAGTTTATTCCTATTTTCTCCATTCAAAAGATCACATGTATCTTTTTTAATGCCTAATGGATTTCATGTATTACCTGACCATTCTTTTTTTTTAAAAAAATTTTTGTTTTAGTTGTAGACGGACACAATATCTTTATTTTACTTATTTATTTTTATGTGGTGCTGAGGATCGAACCCAGGGCCTCGAAAGTGCTAGGCAAGTGCTCTACTGCTGAGCCACAACCCTAGCCCATGACTTTTCTTATTTATAAATTTAGGTACAGCTGGGTTCAAATATAAATAAAATTTAAAATAGTAATTTCATATTTAAGCTAATGACACAAATGCTAAAAATACTTAATAAATGATATAGTCATGTTTTATATAAGTATAAATGTACATTGACTCCCACCTTTTGTATTAACTATTGATAATATTTTTGAATTTCTGTCCAAGAAGCATTGTCTGTTATGTACCAGGCAAAAATATTAGAATGAGTAAGATGGGGCTTTTGATCCATTTGTTGGAACATTCCTTTGCAACTATTGCTTAGAGAAATATCTCTGTAAATTTCTAGACATAAGTCTATGTATATGTTTGAAATTCTTTTTTTGAAAATACTTTGTGTAATTATTATTATAAATGGTATTGCTATGTGAAGTATTGTTTCTTACCCTTTACTGTGCATAAGAATCACCAGGGGAATCTTTTTTAAAAACATAGATTCTGATTCAATAGATCAGGGATACTGAGATTCTGTGTTTTTAACTAGATTCAAAGTTATGCCTATGGATATTGGCATATGGACTGCACTTCGTATGATATATATTAATTAAGCTGAGCATTGTGAGAAACATTTTGAAATGTTTTAAAAATCATGAAATATTTACATTAACATACAATGTAGATAGTATAGAAACTATGTAAAGCAGTAATATTATAAAAATTAAATAATTTTAGTTTTTAATTTTGAGACAGTGTGTCACTGAGTTGCTGAAGCTGATCTTGAACTTGTGATCCTCCTGTCTTAAAATTATGGAAAAGTTTAGTAATGTTATTTTTTATTAGATTCTATCATTTTTACAGCACTGTAATATACAGTGTCTTTGAATTTTACAAAATTCTGTGAGGTAGGTGGAACAAGTATTCTTTTTCCCATTTTATAGATGAGGATACCAAATCCCAGAAAGCAAAGGAGACTTGCTTCAAATTGAAAGTTAAAAGAGGCAGAAAGAGGGTTAGAACTCCTGTGCTTCTATTATTAGATCAGTGCTGTTCTTGTGTACCACTGTGCTTCAGGATCTGTGTATTTTGAGGGAGCACAGGCCACTTAGAAATTTCTAAGAAGAGTGGCAGGAGTAGCAGG